AGGCAGGAGGACTGCGAGGCACACATCCTTCGGGGGCCAACTCAGCTGGCGCTCTGCCGGTAACCTCAGGACTACGGCTCCCAGAATTCCCGACCAGTTTGCCTGGGACTCTGGGAGTTGTAGTCCCAACACCTCTAGCAGCAGGGGGAAGATAGCAGGTATCAGATGAGAAAATACAGACCACGCTGGACGGGAAGGTGAGCGGGAAATGAGCGTGACTGAGGTTCCCCTTTGCTGACTGGGCCTGGGGCCACAGCGAGCCTTTCTGGACCTGGCGGCAAGCTCAAAACCCAGGGCCGGCTGACGCGTGGAGGAGGAACGGTCACCATCGTCTCACGCCGGCTCCCAAGAGGCCCCGACGCTCAGCTCGAGCGGTTCCCTCCCTCCCACCCACCCCAAAAGCCCTCCCAAATTAATCATTGCAGCTAAACTGCCGAGTCTCTAAAAATTTAATGGGGTTATCCATGTAAATGGTGCTCCTGGCATGGTTTGCTCGAAGTGGGAATTAGCTGGCATTAAAACTTCAGCTTGATTATTTTAACAGCGCTGTGATCGTTTCAATTAGCAGCCTTCTACCACTCTTAAGCACTTCGCGGCTTCTTCCTCTGACTTTCCCCCAGGCAAGACCTGGGCGGTGGAGGATGGAATGAACGGGAGGACAGTGAAAGGGAGCCCGGGGGTCATTGGCCCTTCCTTGGCTAATTGGGGTGGAGGGGCCAATGGCCCCCTTTGGGAAGGAGCCACCCGTCCTAAGCTTTTTACAGCCCGCATCTCCTGACCGCGTTAAACATAAATTGCATGGCCAGAGGTCTCCACGGTAATGGCCCTGGGCTTGCATTCTGGAGTTAGAGGTGGCCACGGGGTTCATAAGAGTGAGGGGTGACCAGTGAAGTTTTGTTCTTCTGTCTAGGGGGGCAGTTCACCTTGCGTCCTTTGCAGAAGAAGCCTGAGGCGTTTATGCATCCCCCATCCAAGTGTGTTCGTTCTTTCTTTCTTTCTTTCTTTCTTTCTTTCTTTCTTTCTTTCTTTCTTTCTTTCTTTTCTGTGTTTATTGATTTATTAGATTTTTACCCTGCTTTCATTCAGGAGCTCAAGCAGGAATACAAGTGAGCACGCAATTTTTTACACTGGCATGTATTCAGAGAACTTCCAGGAACAAAGAGTGATTTTTCAAAAAACTGCCCTGGAAAGGAAATAGGATCGGCAGTAGAGCCATGGCGAGTAAGAAGCTTTCATAGCCCAATGCATGCTATCCTTTATATTCCAGGTTCTTCTTAGAAAAGTCCTGTCATTCTCCACGGCCTTCTGTGGAATCTCCCATCTGGACCGGGGGGGGCCTGGCCCATACGCTGTGCAGATGTTCCTGTACACGATGCCAGATGCTTGGCTGTGCCGTTCAGCGCATGCTGTTCCTGCCTGCATCCCACGCCCTGCCACCCTGCGTCGGGCTGCCTCTGAGGCCTCTCCGCGCAGTCTGCCCCTTGGGTCCTGCCGAGCGTGGCAGACCCTGCCTCGATGGATCTGGTGCTTAGCGCCTGTTCCTGTGCTGCTGTGAGCAATGCCTCAGTGCTGCCTCTTAGTCCAGCCCTTTCAGCCACTGGTGGGATTCCCCAATGTCAGCCGCCTCAGCTATCTGTCGACGGTGCCTCCTGTGCCTTGCCATGGCACTTCCTCTGCTTGAACTTCCTCCCATGTCTGCTGCTGCCTCGGGCACTCTCTCAGCAGCTCATCTTTGGGTGCCACCTTGCTGATGTACTCCTGGATGCTCCGGGTTTCGTCCAGGACGGTGGCTTTGATGTTCCCCAGACCCCACCCACCCTCTTCCCGGCTGGTGTACAGTCTCTGGGTGTTGGAAAATATATATATTTTCTCATATATATATTATAGATATAGCTATATGTGCAGAAGTCTTT